CTCTCTCTCTCTCTCTCTCTCTCTCTCTCTCTCTCTGTGGTCTATGGCTCCGCGGCGCATCTTCTCCTACTCTCTTGTCCTCAATCCCCTCCGGCGCCGGTCCTCCGCGTAGTATCTCTTCCTTAGCAAATCCGCCTTGTATTCAACACAATTCTCCAGCATTATTATACACCGTCTTTCGGGTTGGACCAGCATCAGCTTCAAATACATCAGGTCATTTCCCTACTGACACGTGTGCATGGTATCGTGGCTGAGACCACCTCTTTGCTTTCCTCATTCCCGTCCAGCACTCCCCTTCCCTCTCCTCCCCTCCCCGTCCTCCCCACCTGGGCCCCACACCCTGTCGCCGACACCCTGCCACCGTAAGTCTCTCTCGCACTCTCTCTCTCTATCTATATACATCAACATAGACGCCGTCCCCTACCCCTCCTCCCACCCCCATCCCCCCCTATATCCACACCCCTTGGCTCTCCTCCCCCCTGTTCCCACTTCCACTTCCACTCCCACTCCCATACCTCTCCGCGCGCCTTGAGATGAGCGAAAACTGCCTCCCCCCCTCCCTCCCTCCCTCCCTCCTTCCTCCGCAATCCACCACTGTATTGCTGCTGCTCCCGCTTCCGGTGCGCTTCGAGGGAAGATCTCCCCTCCCTACTGTTGCCACGTGTCGTTCCATCCGCTGTGATTCGAGGGAAGATATCCTCTCGCTACTGCTGCCACGTGTCGCTGCGTCCGCGACCTCCGGCAGGTCAGTCTCTCAAGTCGGCACCGCAAACTGGCTCTGCATGCTCGCCAACTGCCCCTTTACACTTAAGTCCACTAGCATGGAGCCTCCCTTGCCGAATTTCAGCTTGAATCCAGCAATGAGAGAGGGGTCTACTGTGCTCTTCAGCTTGATCTTCTTCGCGCCAGTCAGCTCCTGCAGCTTCTTGGCGATCAGTGCCTGCTGGGAGTTGTTCAACTTGATGGCAGACGACACTTCCGCCACCTCCATACCCGTGGCTTCGCAGTACAATCCGTCGAACGCTGCGGCCACTTCTCCCAAAAGCTGAGACCTCTTCTGGTCGACAAGAAGAGACATGAAGCTCTTGGTGTAGGGATGGAGGGCCAGGTCGTCGGCAACCATGTCCAAAACTTCCTTCTTCTTCTCCAGCGACATCACGGGATTATACAGGAACTCCTTCATCTCCTTCTCCTTGCACACCACCTGAAGCTTCTCCATGTCGCCGTGGAGGGCCTCCAAGCAGTCCCGGGACTGGCCGACCTCCAGGACGGCGGCGGCGTAGGCACGACTCAGGGGCTCCGCGGACATCTCCACGGCTGCGCGCCGAGCTCCGCCGCTGCGCGCGGCCCG